ATTTGATATATGATTTGTTGGTTTCAAAGCTGGTATATACGACATATGGATTTGGTGAGATCTTGACAGACTCAATAATAGTGGCTACAAAGAGATTTTTTTTTTAATTTCATTTTAAAACCTTGATAATATAGGTTATAATGGAAAAAGTGAAGTAACTCTGTATTTACCTGAAGGTTGTTTGGTAAATTGATGACAACGTCAACCTTGTTGGATTTGTCACTTGGGATAAAGTTACCCTTGAATCCAATCTGTTTAGAAGTGTCTCTATCGGCATCCCATAATAAGGCAGTATTCAGAGATTTGGTGGAACTGGCATCACTGTAGCTTCCTCTCATTTCGACACTTCGACTTGGGGCACCAACTTTCAGGGAAGCATCGTACATCTTTCTGTAACGTCGGCTGTTATCAGAGACTTCTAAATTATAGAAGACTTTTCTTCCGAGTTGTTCATCCCATGAAAATTCACCCTGACTGACAGTTTGGTATCCGGAATTGTGGAAATTTCCCTTTAAGGCGACAGTTCTGAGTGGATGGACAATTTTAACATCGAGATCTTTCACAGAACCAAGTTTACTGTTGGCCAGTAATCTTAGATTGCTGTTTGGTTCATCTTTGTTCCAGTTGAGGAAGATATCACTGTTTGCTAATTCATCATTTAATAAGCCAGCCCAGGTGAACTGAACTGGTCGTGGTTTGTTCATGGTCAAACTTCCTTCACATTTCTCCTCAGTACTCCTCTCACTTTCCATGTCCAAAACAGTTTCGTGGTTGTAAGTGGCTTCCATCTTGTTGGTGTATTTCTTACCTTCCTTGCTTGAGATGGATTTAATGGTGGCGTCTCGGAGGATTTCAAATGGAGTAGCGATTGAAAGATCTCCATTGTATTGGGTGTTGTACCAGCCTTTAGCGTATTTGTAGCCACCATCTAAAGTGATCTGTTGGGTTGGTTGCCATCCGAGTTCAATGTGTGATCGTTTTTCATCAGCCTCTGAGTTTCTTATGGCTAATTTCAGTTCTTCCATTTCTGGAAGGTTGCTCTTCAGAATAATAGAACCGTCCATAACGAATGGTGATGTGTACATCATTTTGGCTTCGCCAGTCATTTTACCAGTGAGTGGTGATTCCATGGAGCCGAAAGATCGGAAGTTGTTCAGGTCTCCGAAGTGAGACATAGTCATGTCGACGTTTCTCAGCATTTCGAATGGAGTGTACATTCTCAAGGATCCGGTCATTGGCGAGTTGTTCATGTTCAAATCGGCGTTCATAGTGTATGCTTTGTAGTCACTCATTTTGAAACTGGCATCAGCCATATGATGACTCATTCGGCTACCAACGGAAGCAGAATAGATGACAGATTCGTATCCGTTAAATGGTGTTCTTACGGTTACGTCTACGGAATGTTTTGGTTGTTTAGCAAGTCTGACTTCAGCAGAGATCACCTGTCCTTGTCCGTATTCTACATTACTATTACCAGTAAAGGAAGAGCCAGCTATGGAATGTTCGTAAGACATCTTGGAACTTTCATATCCAGTAAATGGTGTTTTGACCTCAAGACTTGACTTCAGCGTGGACAACATTTGGTTGTAGAAATCCAATTTACCAGAGATCTCGCTACCGTCCATGTATCTTAAAGTGGATTGGGTGTTGAATTTGTTGGCAGGTCCAAGGTGTTTCAAGTTGAAGGCGAGGTTTCTGAAGCTTTCCATTGGAGTTGAGAGGGCAGCATCGACTAAGACTCCACGATTGAGGTTGTACGACACAGAGCCATCAATAACATCGTCACCATGTGAACATCCGACATTGATTCTCTTTTGACTCATGGGTCCCTCAGCCTTGATGTTGGCTTTGAATGAGTCACGATCACCAGCCAGCATGTAATTTCCAGAGACATCAGATACAAAATAGTTGTTTCTCGATACCACAGACATCTTACCATCAACTGATGTTTCACGTCCAATAGAGCCTTTGATTTCGGTCACACAGTTCATCATTGGTCCGTCATGGCTGAAACTGGCCTTGATTTCTTCTGTGTGGGGAATCATTAGATTCATTGATAATGATTTCTGTTCAGGCATGAATTGTCCAGTAACACTTACGTCAGCAACGGAACTTCGACCAACACTGACTTTGCTTGAACAGGTGAAATCACTCCAGTCTCCGTTTCTAGTGAAGTCAACAACGATATCTTTGACGTTTGGTGAGGTGGCGAGAAGAGAGAATCGACCAGTTGTGGCAGAATCGTGGCTGAAGGCAGAGTCGACGTTCACTTTTTGACCATTGAACTCAATTTCTCCATCAGCTGTAAAGTCAGTCATTGATCCTTTGCCATTGAGGATGAGTTTATTCATTTTGTAGCCTTCAAATGGGGTTGCAATGGTGACACGAGCTGCGGATTTGGGCTCAAGAGCAGCAACAATGTCAGCTACAATGTTTTTGGAGTATCCATAGTTGATCTCGGCATGACTGGATAGGCTTTTCTCGCCCATATTTTGGTTGTATTTATACTCTGTTCTCTCGTAGTTAGCAAATGGTGTGGTAATGATGGCGGATGCATCAATTCGGTTCATTCCATCGGCAAAGAAGTCAACGTTTCCTTCTATCTTTTGACTATCCATATATTTGATGCTAGCGGATGAAGCAAATCGGCTTAGAGATCCTTTGTGTTTTACAACAGCACCAACCTCACGGAAATCGCTGATTGGAGTGTTGATTGTGACAGAGGCTTCCATTGGTTCAGAAGTTTTCATCATACCGGAAGTAGCATACTCCTCACCGTCAACTGATGCAGTGACTCGTCCGCTCCAGGTGTCGAGTTGTTTATCGCCATGAGTTTGGAGAGCGAGTTCTTGGCTTTGACCGTTCATTCTGTAAGACATGGTGTTGCTAATATCTACAGCTGGTAAATCAATATGGAAGGTGTTGTCGGTAGAGACGATGTAGTCGGATCCAATGTTGGCTGAAGCCTTGGTGGTGAAATGACTCCATTCTCCATTATGGTTCATGGTGACTACAATATCATCGGAATATGGTGATACGATAGTCAAAGAACCATCGACTCCATTTCGGGCATTCAGACTGCTTCTGACAGTGATCTCTTTACCGTTACAGTTGCCAGTGATGTAAGCGTTTAGGTTGTCCCATTCTCCTTCTTTGTGAGCTGTAAAAGCAACTCGTCTGTTCTCAATTGGAAGTCTGTAGGTGAGGGAGGTGGTCAAATCAATAGTGGGTAATCTCATATCGAAGGTGGTATCCGTACCGATGTTGTATCGTCTGCCCATATTGGCGGAAATCTTGTTGGTAAATCGGGCCATGTCACCATCGTGGTCGATAACGAATTGCAAGTTGTCTGTGAATGGTGTTCTCAGAGTAAAGATGGTGTCGAGTCGTCGACTGGAGAAGGAGTTTCTCAAAACAGCCTGGATTTCTTCTTGACCATAATTCAATGTTCCCATAATCTTGACTCTCTCTAAACGACCAGAAACTTCACCCTTGGCTTTGATCTCTTCAAAGCTTTCAAATGGACTTCTGAAGATGAATTCAGCTACTGATTTTCGAACACCATTTGAAAAGCTTACATCTGATTCCACAGTTTTCTTCATAGCGGTAACTTCACCGTGAGCTGTGAAATCATCAATAGGTCCAGATTGTCGGACAGCAAGTTTTGATATTTCGAAATTTTCGAATGGAGTTTTCACGACAAGCATGCCTTCAACATCGTTTTCCCATTTCATTGTCAAGTCTCCTTCAATTGTGTTGGATGGTGAATATCTGATTTCAGCATGACTGACCATGTTAGCTGGAGAGGCATCATGTTTTAGAAGACCACCAACATTTTCAAGGTACTGGTATGGAGAGTTGAGATTGAAATCCATGGTAATTGGTCCATCAAAGTTGTATGTAGATTGAGCACTGATGATTTGTCTTGGAGAGTATTCAGCTTCAAAATGTGAATGTCGGCCTGTATTATCAAGATTGCTGGTTGCTTCCATTTGGAGGTATGGGAAGCTGGAGTATGGTGTGTCCATTCGAAGTCTTGCGCTCATATCAGATGCCCAGTTAGCATTAACCACCGAAGAGAATTTTCCCCAGATTGGGAGAATTTCAAGATCCATGGAACTGTCGAAGGCACTTGGGGATTTGGTGAAAGACATCACCGTATCCATTGCTCTCATGTTGGTGAAGGGAGTTCTCAGTTTAAGATTCATTTGTTTCTGATGATCAAACTGGAATCGTGATTCCAGCTCGACTCTTTCTCTGGGTGCATATTCTACCATAGCTGTTGATTCCATTGTTCTGCCTTCAACATATTTATTGGTGGCCTCGAGTACAACTGATCTTACTGCTTCAAATGGTGTGGTGAATCTCAGGGAACCGTCTAATGTCAACGGGTAGGCATAGGTGACACTTCCATCCATGTTGATTCGGCTTCTTGGTGACCATTCCATTTCAAGATGTCCTGTCATTGGGAAAGATTCACCTCGGAAGTTAACTTTGCTGCTGAGATCTTCAGTGTAAGGGTTGGTGATGAGGACTTCCATTTCACCATTAGATCCAGTAATTTGGTAGTTAACTTTAGATGTTGCGCATGGATTTCTGTCTTTCTTGATGATGACATTATTGGCGAGGAATCCAATGGCGTGTTGATGGTCGAGGCTCATTTCAATATCTCTAAGAACTTCCCATGGCGTCTGGATAGTAAGGTCTCCTTTTAGTTTTCGGGAAGAATCCATCTGATGCATACCAGACAAGTTGATGTAGACTTTGTTACCTCTCCAATCAGAAGTCCATGAAGATTTGATATCACTAGCCGTGTTTCTGTGAGACCAACTGTTTCGCAGTCTTTGTTGTGGAGCAGATAATATCAAACTTCCTCTAGATTGCATCTGAATACCGTTCAGGAAGAAGGTAGTGTCCAAATTTCCCATGTATCGTTCCCCATTCTTGTCCAAAGACAATTCAGCAACGTATTGGTTGTTTTCGTTCATGATTTTACCATTAATGGAGATGTCTTCAAATTCTGGGATGTTGGATTTCCAGGTCATACCGGAAGACATGTCAGTTTTGTAGTAAGTTCCCCTGTCGGCACCAGAAACTTCCAATTGGGCATTGGTACTTCCAATAGATCCTTTAACAATTGTTTTGATTTCATCGGCTATTGTGTGGGCAATTTCAGCTTGGAGTCGTTTTAGTCCTCTAAATGGTGTGGAAGCCTTCATACTGAGATCAATGTTACTGAGTGAAACAGGTTTTTTCAGGGAGAGGGAGGATGAGATCTGTTCACCACTCTTGCCCCAAGTCAAAGTGTTCACTGAGCTGTATTTGCTGGGATCGTTGGTGTAGGCAATATCAGCAGTAATTCTTGGCATCATCTCAAACGGTGTGATAAGACTCAAAGCTGTAGTAATATCGTTCAGATTTTGACCAAATGTTACATCAGCAATGATTTGCTCCACTGGACTCCAGGCGAAATCGACATGAGATCGGTATTTCTTGTTTCCGGAATGCTTCAGGTTTAGGACTAAGTTTCGGCTGGGGTATTTCAGCTCAGCTGTAGCGTCAAGATCCTCCAGTGATTTCAAGTTCATCATACCGTCCAATAAGACTCTACGAGACTTGTCCTTGGCAGCATCCCATTTGGTTTCAAGACTACCAGAATATTTGGTTCCACTTTTCTTGCCGTCTACAACGATACCGATTTCTCTGGATGGATGGAACAAATTCACTGTGATCTTTCCTCTTGGCTCAGATGGTGAATATTTAGAGATGGTGGCTAGTCCGTATTTATCCCCAGCATAGATTACATGTCCTAAAGCCTTGAAATTCTTCAGATTCAAGTTTGTTTCTCCGGACAGTGTGATTGGTTTCATACTATGGATGTTGATATCAGAGGAGAATTCGTGGGATTCATGTCGGGGTCGTTTGTAGCTAGACACAATGCTAGATTTCATGGATTTACCAATATTGACGTTCAGAGTGTGTTGAAGTTCCTTTTTGGTTGCTTGAGCTAAGCCTGAGGAGATGATCACGTTGTTTCCAGGGTAGGATAAAATGAATTCACCGCCCATTTTGGTTGTTTTCTTGCTGTCATCCTTTAGTTTCAAATCAGCAGAGACTGATTTTCCTTTTGCGTATTCCAAGTTGAAGTTGGATCCCAAGTAATTGTTGTTGTGTTTGTGAATACCCTTCAATTGAGCATCGACTCCCTGAAAAAACAAAATAAACATTCATAAGATTTTTATATATTGAAGCATTCTATGAAAACGAGCTAAGTAAGGGATAATCTCTTCCTCGTGAAATCTTTTTTAACCATGCATCTTTTTTCTGATAGTGTTAACATCGTAACAGTGAAAGACTTCGACTTACGAGAAGTGGGACGATGGCCTTTCCATTAAAACTAGCAGCAGCTTGTTTCAGGGATCCTTTGTGGTCAGCAGATGCCTCAAGGAAAAGTTTGTGGTCGGGATTTTGTCCAACTCGGAAGTCAAGTTTACCATCGGTGTGTCTTGAATTGTGGGAGAAATCAACAGCAGAATCGAAATTATATTCTGGGTTTCTCTTGACCTCGAAATTTCTGTAATTAAAAAGTGAGATTGTGGAGATTCGTTATCGATACATTGGATATAAAGCGTAGTTTTCCAATGGTTATGAAACAAATACACATTCCAATTATCATAAGATCATTTACTTTTGAACAATAAATATTGAGTTTGAAACAAACGGCAGATGTAAATGACTTACGTGGTAAGCGTGTGTTTTGTCAAAGTCTTGGCTGTTCTGTCATTATATTTGGTATTGAAGGTGATCTTGTTTTTCTTGGATCGTGGTATATTGTAATCAACAATAACTCTAGATGAGAGACCAGATTTTTTCATGTCCACAGTACCATCAATTTTCATGGTGATGAGTTTCGAGTTCAGGTTGACATCAGCTATATATTTCACTTGGTTTCTCTTCTTTTCAATTCGATTCAATTTACCTAGAAGAACAGAAGAAAACCTGTATAAATTGAGCTCTGCATCTTACTAGTGACAGAAGTGACAGATTTTCTTTAAAATCTGCTATTTAACATACTAGTATCTCTATTTTGTCCTTCAAATGACCACTTCATCACCTCGAAAACCCTCGAATAATCTCTATACTTACAAGTACAAGAAACTGGTTTCCTCATCCACCAATCCGAGGCAATAGATGTGTCAATATTGAGGAATTTGCCAGGCATATATTCACAGCTGCCTTTCATCATGGCTACTGAGGCTTTGGGTGTTCGGATCTGGATTGTTGGGTATAGCTTTATTCCTTTTCCAGATTTCTGAGCCAGTTTGACCAAACCGGAGAATTCTCCCTGTTTCTGGTAGTTGAAGCCCATACTGATACTCTTCTCGTTGTTGCCGTAGATGGCTGACCCTAGAAGAACGACGTGAAATAGAGATTTAAGTTCAGCTATTATTCGCCTTGTGAAATGATAATATGTTGCTTTACTTCAAAAAGGTTTTTTTGCAAAGGTTCAACCTTAAATAGAGTTATAACAAAAAACACAACTTCTAAATGTCGTTCAAATCTTATCTTAAATAGAGTTTTACATTTTGCTATTCTATAACAAATAATACGACAAGATATTTAATATCTATGTTTATGTCTATGTTTGTAACTAATTTGACTTTATTAACTTACAGGCAAAAGTAGTGTCTGGTGATGAAGGTTGCACCAGAGTGATGTCTCCAGAACAATCGTGGCCTTCTCGGATAATTTTACCAGTAGCGGTGAATTCACCCATGGTTGGATGGGAGAACGTGATGGTAGGTTGATAGCTGACTTTTGGTCCATTGTTCATGATCTTGGTTTCAGCATCCATCATCATCCATGGCTCATCGTCAATATTGATAACTCCTTTCATAGCTTTCTTATCTCTGGTGTTGATCAGGGTTGCTGCAAATTACAAGTTTTTTTTCAAAATATGGTAAGGGCAGTGTAAGTTTAAGAACTGTTATACATCCTAGTGTTCTTCTGTGTATTTATGTTATATTGTTAATATTCTGTATGTTGCAATGTTGAACAGTTTTAGCATTAATTAAAGTCTTTATGACTTCATGGTTAGCGAATGTAGAGGAACATTTTTCAATGAAAGTCTAAACTAGTCTTAAATATTTGATTAAATCTACCTTTGGTGGAAGCTTTCTTCCATGGAGAAATCATTTTAATTTCCAAATCTTTAGCAGCCTTGTTCAAGATGAAGTCGAAAGCCAGAGATCGGTCAACTCGAGATCCAGGTGTGTCAATGGCCAGTTGTACCAGACTAGCTTGTTTGGTCTGGAAGACAATACAAATAATTTATTGGAAATATAATGAAATGGAGATGATAAAATGTTGACAAGTTAAACAATTAGATTCTAAACAATAAGACAGTATTGTGCTACTAATATTATTATAATCATGGTGAAAGGCAGAAGAGAGGATCTTTAATGTCTATTTTGTCAGCTGTGAGCAAGAAACTTACCAAAGTTTTCTTTGCTAAGAATCGGTATCCAAGATGTGAATCTCGTTTGTAAAGAACCAGGCTAACTCCAACTGGTCCAGTGAATGGGAAATAAGGAGCTTCTGACATCATGGAGGCGTTGGGAAAACTGACTTCCCCACATACTTCTAGACCAGTGATCTTGGCCAGTTTACTTCCGGTACAGACTTTACCAACCTTACGGTTGTCAGTGATCATTTTTTGTTCCTTTTCAATGTCACCATGAACAACAAAGAAAGCAGTTCTGGAAAAATAATGATTTGAAATTAAGTCTCGAATTGATTAACCAGATGACTGTTGGATCAACGAATCACTTGTA